CACCGAGGCCGCGCCAGCCCAGCGCGCCGTCGCAGCTGTCCAGGACCGCGCACAGCTCGCCCAGCAGAGCCGGCGGGAGGTCGAACAGGAGCGTGTGCGCCGAGAGCGTACCGCGGGCCCCGCCGCTCGCCGCCGCCGCCGTCCAGGCCATGGCTCGGCCGCCGGAGACCAGGGGCCAGTCCGAGGAGGGATGCGGAGCCCAGGCCTCTCCGCGCCCGCGAGGTGCTATTACACAACCGCGGAAATCCTGCTTCCACGACGGCCAAGGCTGCAGAACTTGCCGAGCCCGACCAGGGGGCGGGCCCCGCATGACGCAAGGCGCTGCCCGGCAGAGATGCCCCTGGGGACGCCCGGCTTGGCGGCGGGGTCTCCCCTGCGTCTGCGTGGCCCTCCTCGCTGGCTTTTACGTTCTGAGCAGGGCTTTCGTCCCTCCGGGTTTGGGACGTGACTGGAGAGGCAAAGAGCGAGAGCCGGGGGAAGACCAGGAGGGCAGGGCTAATGGAGGAGAGTCTACACCCCACTCTGCCTGCCCTGGCATGGGCTGTCTCCTGGCGTGGATGGACAGAAGACCGGTCAACAGTTCTTTTAAAAACGCGTTTTGTTTTCCCCTGCCAGAAAGCGATACATGTGTCCCGAGGAACTCTTGGGAAATCCAGAAAAACTGACAGAAGATCGTCACTCAGCTGAAGACAACCATCCGAAACGTTTGGCGCATTCCCCTCCCAACTTTTACTGAAGTCGAACAGGTAAATGTGCACATACGAAGTGATTGCTGGAAGAGACCAAAGAAGATGCCAACAACAGGAACGCAAAAGAGAGAACAAAGCAGAAGAAAATTGTGCTCGTTTTCTTCCAGACGCTGCCCATTCTCCACGTTGCTACTTGGTTTTTGTACATTCTTTTCTCTCTGGGCTTTCTTGATAAAACATTGTTCCGCTACTTTTCCTACTTCAAAGTGTGTCACAGACTGTTTTGCTTTCAACGTGGAGTTTAAGTAAACTTGGCTGTTGTTTTGAAATATTCTGTCACGGTACGCTGTACCCACCGCAAGCATGATACGAATGCTACTGACAAAAAAGAGGAGATGCTTTGAAAGTGCTGAGAAAAATCCCAGCCTTAATGAGTGGAGTGGACAATGGCCATCAACCGAACAATATCAACCCTGTTGAAACCTTTCAGATTTGTACTCTTTGGCAATGGCGCCCCCTAGAGACCAACAGTTGATGATACACCATCGTTTATTACCCCTGACGCTACCTGAATCCCGAGTCGTTCTCAGCTAAAGTATACCACAAAATATACTTGAAAATTGGTGAAACCAATACCGGTTGGGCAAAGGTTTCTATATGCCTTTCTTCAAATAGCTGAAATTTTGTCTATCTGTACACGCTTAAGAAACTCTATACCTTTCAAAGGTACTACCTGAAAAAACAGCAACAGGCAGGATACAAGTATTTGGTAGCTATTGGATTGGTGAATTAGTACGATGAGAGATCCAAACTCAGTTACGCAGAGGATCCAGGAATCACGGTTGCTGAGTGAAGCAGTCAACAAGGCCTGCTTTTCCAGGTCTTCTGATTTACAGGGAAGCAAGAATTTTATGTGAACACCATAGTATTTGAAATGTATATGGATTATGTGAAATTTCTTGTATTTTTAATGTTGGCAGTTAGTATCAGCCCATGCTCTCTCTGTATTCCTTAAAACTGCCTTTGACTTCTGAATTTTATATCATCAGGTTATATCGCTCACTGTTCTTCACCATTGGTGTCATTCACTGCTCTCCCCCACCTTAATTCTTCCCTCTCATTTTTAGACGATATAGCTCCTGCTCACTGCAATTCTCTCCAATACTAGCCCTATCTTATTTGATGATTTGAAATCTATGTAGAGTAGATGATGATCTTTCCAATACCCTGTCCTGTGAGTTCTTTGACCGATCCTCCTCCGGTAATCTTATTCTCCACCCTATTTCAGCCACTCACTCCCATGATCTTTCCCTTGAACTTGTCATTATCGACGGTGCCCCTTCTGTAATTTCTATTTCATGAATCCACTCTCAGACCACATCTCCTGTCCTTCCAGTGCATTCCCGCTAGTGCTCTGACCCCAACAATTCTTCCCCCCGCCCCACCTTCCCACCCCCGTAGGTTACCAAATCCAAAATCTTGCCACCTCTTCTCTGGCCTCACCCTCTTAATGTCCTTACTTCTCTCTTTATCCATAAAATCCACACTCCATGTTTCTAATCCCTCTCACATATGCCCTCCATTCTCTTGCTCCTCTTTGGCTTTGTTGAGCTGCCTTGGCACATCTACCATTCTGATCAGATACAATTTTCTAATTTTTGGCTCTGCCTCCCGTGCACCAGAATGTAGCTGGAGGTGGAGTGGGGAATAAAAACCCTGTTAATTGGACCCAATTTAAAATCAAAGCCATGGGGCGCCTGGGTGGCTCAGTCGGTTAAGCGGCCGACTTCGGCCCAGGTCACGATCTCGCGGTCTGTGAGTTCGAGCCCCGCGTCGGGCTCTGTGCTGATGGCTCAGAGCCTGGAGCCTGTTTCAGATTCTGTGTCTCCCTCTCTCTGCCCCTCCCCCGTTCATGCTCTGTCTCTCTCTGTCTCAAAAATAAATAACGTTAAAAAAAATTTTTTTTAATCAAAGCCATGACTTTCAAATGGGTCCTTTATGCTTCCAGGTTGTCACACTAAGTGCCCTTTGTTCACTTACTCTTCGGGTCCCCTTGACAACTATTCTATGCCTTCTCTTTTCCCAACTCCGTTTACCTTCTCGTCCACCCTTCTGCGCAGCCAATGATCTTGAGAGTATTTAGTGAAAGTACCGAAGTATCAGAAAAAAACATCCACAGACTCTCAGCACCATCAGCACCACATTTATCTGCCCACCAGCATCTGTAGGGACATACAAGCCCTCCCTCCTTTCCTATTAGTCAATTAGTAGGCTCCTATCTAAGTCTAATCCCTTCACTAGTGCCGCCGATCTGATCTCCTGTCTCCTATTCAAAGATATCAGGGCAGCCGTTCTCACTCTCAGCTACACCATCAATTTCTCACTCTTTGCTGGATTAATTCCATCGGCATACAAATATGATGTTATTTTTCCATCTTAAAATAAACCAAAAAAATTTGATATGATTTCCCCCCTTTGATGCCATTATTACCCCCATTTCTTTACTCCTTTTTGTAGTAAAGAGTTGAATCTTCTATCTCCAACTTTTCTCCTCTAACCTTCTCCTAAACCAACTCCTAAGCCACTCCTCCTACCTTACTCCACTGAAATGGCTCTCAGGGTCATCTATGTCCACATCATTGCTAAATATAACAGTCAATTTTCAGGCCTCATCTTATTCAACCTATCAGTAGTTTTTCTGTTTTTGGTTTTTTTTTACATTTATTTTGAGAGAAAGAGTGCACACGTAAGCAGGGGAGGGGCAGAGGAAGAGGGAGGGAGAGAATCCTAAGCAGCCCCACATGTGGGGCTCAATCTCACCAAACCGTGAGACCACAACCTGAGCCAAAATCAAGAGTCAGATTAACCAACTAAGCCACCCAGGTGCCCCAACCTATCAGTAGTTTTTGACATAGGTGATCCCTCCCCTCCTTCTTGGACACTTTCTTTATTTTCCAAATTCTCTTACATTTTAGCCTACTTCACTGGTCACTCTTCAGCTTCCTGTGCTGTCCCTTCTCTTTTTCCTTAACTCTTAATGTTGGAGTGCCCCAGGGTTCAGTTCATAGTTCTGTCTATGTACACCTACTCCCTTGATGATCTAAACCAGTTTCGAGGCTTTAAATACCATCTATCTACCAAGGACTGCCAAATGTATACGGTTAGCCCAGACCTCTCCCTTAAACCTAAGACTCATGTCCAAAATTGAACACTTGATCCTGTCTCCTGAACCTGTTCTTCAACATTCTTCCCCATCCAGGTCACTCTATCCTTCCAGCTGCTTGAACCAAAAGCTAGAGAGTCATCCTTGACTCCTCTATTTCTTCACAGCCCATGTTCAACCCACTAGCAAACCCTGTCGACTCTATTCAAAATATATTTAGAATCACACTTTTCTCCACCTCCACAACTGCCAGCCTGGTTTGAGCCATCATCATATCCTGTTTGGTTTACTGCAGTTGTCTTCTAACTAAAGTAGCTTCCACTGTTAAAATCTATAGACTGTCTTCAACACTGCAGCCAGATTCATTATTTTAAATCAACTCTGACTATCTGATTATTTGACTATGTAAACTAAATCTATTTAGAAGCCAACAATGGCATCTGATTTGGGTCAGAATAAAAGTCAGACTCTTTGTATGATCTGCACTCTCTCTCCTCCCACTCTGCTGTCACCTCTGGTCTTATTCCCTTGTTCATTCTGCACTACCACACTGCCTTCTTGTCGGTCCTTGAACACACTAGGCAGAGTCCCACATCGGAACCTTTGCGCTTGCTATCCCCTTGCCTACTATGCTCTTCCCATCTTGCTGCAGTCTACCCTGCCCTCCGTATTTGAAATTGCACTCAGACTCAGGCTGGCGTGTGACTACAACAGCCAATAATATATGGCTTGGGGTACCAGATCTCATTCAAATTTCTCCTTCTGGATCTGAACAGGAACATGTGGCAGCTCTGGCCATTTCTGGAACCATTTTGCAACCACATGGAGATAAATATTAGAATGAAGTGAGCCTTGGGGATGGCCTCGGGAGAGAAAAAAACAGATCCTTCATAATGTCATTAAGCAGCTCTTTTGTTCTCTCCATGGAGAATGTCCTGCTTCTGGGCTTATAAATTCTGTCACATAAATTCCTTACTAAGTAGGTTTACAAACTAGGAATCTTGTGTTTGCAGCCAAATGCATCCTGATACACTGAACAGACATTTGGTGATACTTCCTGTTTTGTTATTGGCCTGTAGAACTGTGGGAAGAAAACTAACCTCTGTCCAAAACTGGAGTTCAGATGTATACAGCTGTATCTGTGAAATGTCAGATGGGCATGGAAACTGGATGGTAGAGGGAGACAACCGGGCCCCTGAGAGAAAGTAAGTGTTGGTAGAGAACGGTTCTGACAGCACAGACAGAAGCAGTATGAAGTTCCAGATGCACATGACACTACACTGAAATCCACACAAACCCAGACCCTGAAATGCACCCTGCCCACCCGCTCCCAGCATACGTGCTTCTGGCAAAGAGAGGGCTGCGGTTAAACCTAAAACTGTCTCACTCTGTGACTTCATCTTTTGCCACGGGAACTTTTGCCTCTCCGACTCTGCCCCCCACACCCCTGCCCCCATATTTCATATACTAGAAGAAGAGCTTCCTTCCTGGCTGGAGGTAAGAGAGTAATGAACTACACGGATTA